TCGTGCGAACAAAGAGACACATTTATAAATGCGTACATAAATATGGGAATTCACTGGCTAATTAACGAACATTAGCTGAGAGTACTATAATGTTATATGAAAGTTTTTGAGCTTGATTGATAATTTCAATATTCCTTTTAATAAAATTAAAATTATTAGTTCCTTAAAAACTACTATGGCTATACTATAGTATACATTAGTGTGAACATTATGTACTTTGGTTCGAACAAAAAGTCACAAGTGTACAAAAAAATCGTCAATGCAAACATTTATATGAAAATTCACTTGCTGATTAACAAACATTCGTTTATATTAATTGAAAAGCATATACTTCAATGTAATATAACCTTGATATATCTAATTGATAAAGCAACGACAGTGCTTTTCGTATAAATTTACAAATTTTTAATAAATGTAAGTGCGAGTTTTTCAAATCCATATTGGCGTGAAAACTGAAAGCCTAAAAGCTTAAAACTGAATATCTTCACCCCCCGTTAGCTAAATGCGTATATTGCGTTTAATAAATCATTTTAATTAATTCATGTTTCGTTTCCAAGGGATATTTCTCATCGCACGCACAGATATAATTCAATCCAAACAGAAAATTTTCCGAGCCAAAATTTTTTATTACGCTTCTCCCATGGGGAGAACGAGCAAATTTGGATGTACGAGGACAGATGGGGAAAATCAATTAGAAAAAAAAAATTGCAATTCATTTCAAGGTTTTGGTAATGGCCTGAAGAAAAAAAAAACGTGCAAAAGTGATGGCAATTGGAATTTTTTGTGGCTCATAAAAAATGATATTTTTCTGTTTAATATCGTCAATTCGGGTCAAATTCTATTGCCGACCAAATGTATGGATGCGTGTGTGTGTGTATATATCGAGTATATATATATATTTATTGGATTCCAACCCCTTATTGATATTTGGCACGTCGCATCTATTTCAATCTTTCTTTTTTTGGCGCTCTGTGCTTATTTGTTTTTCCAACGTGACTGAAACTCGCTTGGGGGAGATAATCCAAAATTCAGCATGAAATATGTATTCGTAACCTCTTCGTATATGTTATGATTCCAACGTGTATTGATTACATTCGTAATGTTCACCATTATGGCATCAATTTATTGCTTTGCAAACGTTATTAATGTATATTCAACTTGATTAATCAAATACTCTTCAATTGTATAAGTGACTAGTAATTATCATTGAATACAGTAGATGTTTTTGGTTTAATGTATCAAGAGACATAGTCATACAAAAATGTAAAAATACCTCACTTAGTCCTATCGACTATTTCAACATGAATATTTAATTTTTTTGTTTTAAATACTTTTTTGTTCCACAGTGTATTAAAAATAATTTCACACTTATTGTAATGAAAATTGTTAATAAAAAACAAGCCTTCAAAATAAATATAGTCGGGATTTTTATTGTCGGGATTATGGTAGTTGGGATTTTGACATAGTCGGTATTTCGATAGACGAGATTTCGGTTATCGGGATTGCGATTGCCACCG